TTGAATCGATTGCTTAGATTGTGATTTACGTATTGTAGGAAGTGGGAGGAGTTATGTGATAAGGCAGCAAACTTAAGAAATCAGGCGTCTCAAACGACTGCATGTAGCAAATTTCCCGCGCACTTACTTTCACAATGGCGCATCGGACCCTTTTTTGAATGATAGGACTGAGAGCCTTTGCCAAAATTTTGATCTGAGTTCTACGGATGACTTTAACATACTGAGCGTGCAGAGCCCTACTGAGGACCCGGTGAACGTAGATTGTAGATCGAAAGACGTCAAGAATTGTATAAACATGGCCAGCCCATGCTGGTCTTGGAGATGCTGAACATACAATCAGAATCGAATAGTGATACAAACAATGTAGCGTAGTTTTGAACGTAGACACTCCCAAATTTTAGCAGCAAAAGCTTCTACGTCCGGCGTTGCAGCCCCACAGGCTGCTCGGCGTCAGCAAGGCGGCCAATAGCAAGCGGTGGACAATGGGTGGAAGAAAATTTGGGGAACAAGGTGGAAAACCTCAAAATTGTAATAAAAAACAGACAAACGATATGCCACCGTTAAATGTTATACGGTAAGGGTTTATCTTAAAAGATTTTCGGAAACATTATTTCACGACGGCCATTCTAGCGCGCATGGCTCCCATCCCCTGGCGTTGCTTAAAGTGGCCGAACGCCGTTCCGTCATACAAAGACTGCAACCCCGACCAAGGCTGTTCTTCAGAGATTGCGACCGGGCAGGCTGGAAACGTTTTGAAGTAATTTGTTTCCCTAGTCGATTCTTATCTTTTTTCTGGTCCGTCGGTCCATCATGCCCTCCAATCGCGCTCTTGATCGTCGGTTTCGGTGATACCCGGGACCCTCCTCGGCCTCATCAAACACTGTCCTTCGCCGATTTGGACCCCTTGCCAACATAGGGCTGCATATCAGGGACTGTGGCCCCTGAAGGATGCAGGGACCCCGACTGGTGTAAATCGTCGGGCCCCGGCTTTGCCGCAGTGGAAAATCGGCCCTCAGGCCCTATATCCTCATCAATTCGGGAGGTCGGAATGACACTTGAGTACTTTCTCCGGCTGGCCCTTCGGGCCCTAAAATCGGGCCCTTAATCGCCGTTTCCTACGAGACCAAGGGGTGATGGGGGCTTGTGCCTTTTGTGCTCCACCTAGGCCCCTGTACCCCAATACCCCTGTCTTCAATTTCGGTGTCCGTTTTACGCTTTTGTTATTTCACCTCTCCTATTTTGAGAACTGGCAAAAGAGACAAAACCCATGTCATGGTAAACAATGCACACGAATTTTGCTCCTCGTGGGCCTAATAATCCATGTTTTAATTTTTCCCTTCGGCGCCGCTCCCTTGTGAGACATTTGCAGCGGGTCCCGGTGTATTCAGCGTCAGGTTCAGCCGTGACGACCAACTTCGGGCGCTAGGGTTGTTATGTACCAAGGTGCATCGCTGGGGCCAGCATGTAGTCAGTCTTTGTACGTAAGATCAAGAACATGGCGCTAGCTTTCACAGTGACATTGTTGACCACTAGCGTGCCTTCGGTTACTTCCCAACATGTTCTTTCGTCAGTTGTTTTCCCAGCGCTCACATTTGCTCAGTATGAGGCTACTTAGCGCGAAAAAATCATCGCCCATCCAACGTTTACAAAACTGTTGTTTCTGCAAACATCAATCAGCGACGTGAATCCCAAGCTGACCGTTTCCCAAGTCACGCCTTATCTCATCAACTTTTGGCCTCCGATGTGCGCATGAATCTAAATACACTGTGGCCTTGTTTGCGGGGATGCTCTGAAGCATATCACACGCCTTTTGAGAGGAGACTGGTCCTGCAGTGTGCTGAAGATCCTCAAGTGAATCGTCTGCTGAAAAAAATTGCTAGCGCTAATGCAACCTGTACTAATTGTCAAATGTGCTGTCGGCTTGGAGCGCACCATGTGTCAGTAATTACTATCACAGTTAACCATGCTATTTTTAACTGCACCATTGACAAAACTCCATGGAGATTAGGATGTTCTCGCAGCGATTCGTCTGTGGACCGATGAAAATGTGAAAGTTCATGAGGAAACTATAGCATTCGCCCAAAAATTGTAGCTGTGATAAATGAGCTCTGTCCAACAAGACTGGCGTGACTGTGTGCTCGACAATCCTACACGTGCATCAAGTGCTAAGATGCAGAATACAAAGCTTTGTTTTAATGAGCATCGCTTTTGTGTTGTACAGAGGCCTGATCGCATTTGTGAGCGCAGAGGTTTTTCGTCTGTGGATCGGCGAGAAGGTGAAAATTGGTAAAGAAACCATAGCATTCGCTCGGAGACTGTAACCGTGATAAATGAGCCCTCAGTCAAACAAATCACGCATGATTCTGTATTCAACGATTGTGTACGTGCATGTGCAAACATGCAGAGTACAAATACTTGTTGTTTATGTTGTTGCGTTGGTGACATCCATAATGCGCAAAATTCTATGCAAATTTACAACTGAACGATTTGTTCCTGTTACGCGAAGTGCGACCCAACTGATGGTCAAATGACAGGCTACGCCACCCAATTACAGGACCGGTGATCATTTCCATATATCGGCTGTTTCATTTTTGTTAGATACATCATTGCCGTTTTTTTCAAAATGTGCATAGCTTTTGGAGTGGCTCAAAGGTTTGCATGTGCGTCGGTTGGAGGGAGGCAAAACCAGTCTTGGAATCGATTATCTTTATGCGTTACCATTACACTTATGCTAAGCATTCTGAGACAGTTGAGGTGGCATTGCACCCACGGAGCCCACACCCGTTCCTACCCATATGAAAACGTATATGTGCCACCTGCCCGTGAAACAAACGGTGCTTATGAAGTTGTGTAATCAACGCTTGAAAACATGTTGCATGGGTATTCAATGAGCGGTTCCTTCCCGTATGACATTTCTTTTGAGCCGGGCTGCGGAGCATACTGCTTTATAAAGCTGCTTAGAAAATTGGTGTTGGAAAACAAATCGCCATGGACACGATGCACGGGCGAGCTTAAAACGTCCAGGGATACATTTTGCCTCTGAAAATAGCTCCTTTTTCTTGAGATACACTTTGGGGACATTTATGAACCTACGCGTTTTAAAAGAATAGGTGACCCACACTCTACATCAGCAGTAGCAGTAGCTAGTACTTAATCGCAGGAAAATGTTGTCATATAAAAATGCTGAGAATGGAAACACGCAGGACAGATGATGAACAAGGATACGATCGAAGCTCATGTAAAAATCCCACATTGCTTACAATGGACAGCTTACTTCATTCAACGAAAGAAATCGAGCAGTACCCAACTTATCGTTAATGCCCGCGGGCTAATCTTGAAAGAACTGAGGTAAAATTTGTGGACGTTGGAAATAAACGTGAAATCTGTTAATCGAGAAACTCACATCTTGACTTCCGAACAATCTAACCTTCGATATCAAATGTCTGCGTCGTAAAATCTCAATCCAATCGCTGGTAAACACACACAATAGAAATGCCATGGTATGTGGGGACCTGCCAAATATGGACATGCGTAATGTACCCATGAACCAAATTTTTACACCATCTCGAAATCTTTGCTGTGTTAGAACTCGCTGTCAGAATCCCGAGATATTTCTGGGGCTAAGCTCGAATTGAGCCAAAATCAGTTGTAAATTGGAGTTTCAAGGCCCAAATCTACTAACAACAAGTCTGCTTTGGATGTGCGCCCTCAAACAAGGTCCAACACACATGTCCCCGCAAAACAAATTAATGTGAATAGGTGTGTGTGTGTGTGTGTGTGTGTGTGTGTGTGTGTGTGTGTGTGTGTGTGGTGTGTGTGTGTGTGTGTGTGTGTGTGTGTGTGTGTGTGTGTGTGTGTGTGTGTGTGTGTGTGTGTGTGTGTGTGTGTGTGTGTGTGTGTGTGTGTGTGTGTGTGTGTGTGTGTGTGTGTGTGTGTGTGTGTGTGTGTGTGTGTGTGTGTGTACTGCTTACCCAAGCGTTGCGGTGCGCTAAAGCGTACCTTATTCGACTCCGGTGGGCCCGCTGCGCAGGCTCCGGGCGAACTGTTCTCACTACAAAGTCCCAAATTACTGCTGAACACCCGTTTTTTGTAAAGCGCTGGCATAAGCCTTGAAATTAGACCGGCCTTTGTACGTGCGCCAATACCTATGAGAAAGACTACATTTTCTACCATCACGACAATACTATTTTCACCTGCACACTCGCAAAAATAGTTGCCGCAAGCAGCCTTGAAAATTTGGCAGTACTTTAGCAGCCACGACCTTGAATCTAGCCAACCGAAGCATTCCATCGTCTGCTCCGGGATCAAAATTCAAAACAAAACAAGAGAAGCGGCGTGGTGTACGGGTGGTTATGCGCGTATTGCGTTGCCCAAGGCCCTGTAACCGTTGTATTGCCGGATGGTGTCACCGTTGCCCTCACACAGGAATGCGGCCTGGACAAAATATTCAACTTGACCTGTGAAACTGAAATAACTGGTAGACACCATGTGGTAGTTGCAAGGAGGCGGTACTTGCTTTTAAAGTTTAGAGATGAGTTCCAGCTCTGGGATTGAAACCATGTGATGAAAGGATATTATTTTCGAGCTATGTCCTCATGCTTGCGTGGTGTGGTTTCATGAATGTCTTAGATGTGTGTCACCATTCGGTGGAGACAAAGAAATCCCTACCGTGGTGCTGTTCTGTGCTGATCAATTCATGTTCACATATTTAAAACAACTCATTATCAGAAGCAGAGCATTAGCATAAAATGAACAGAAAATCAGATAGCCATCCTAGCTACAGATATTTTTGTTGTTCTGAATGTCATCGAGGCTATGCATTGCCACATGGATCTGCATAATGTGCAGATTTTCTATATATATCCACCCATGCAAAAAACAGTTAAGTGACATGGCTTGCAAGCACTATTTCTGTACTTATGCTGTGTCAGGAAGCCCATGAGACTTTCAAAATGGCAAGTGGGTACTTGCACCCTTTGCTTGTAAGTTGTTGTGGCCAAGTAAATTGGTGTCTTTTTCGACGGAAGCAAAGGTACGTCATTGATGGTGGGTACGTTGATCTGTGGGCTACGTTTTCATTATCAGTGATCAATGATATTGATTCCAGGTCCATGGCATTAATGTTATGTGCATAGCATCTAAATAAAGCAAGATGTATTCACCCCTCTTTGTCTGGCTGCTGCCATTCACCACACTTCATGCTGGTAAGAATTTTGTCAGTTATTTTTGTGATGCTGTCTTGTGGCAGGCTAAGCCTAACTGGGCAAATATTTATTAAGAATGTTATGCTAAGTGAAAAGCAATGAGTAATTTTGCAAAGCTTTTTAGAAGCAATTAGAGGCCCCAAATGTCCCTGGCTACACAGGTACAACAGAGTAAAGCAAAAAGTGTAAATAACATTTAAAATTGTAAGTTTAATTCAAAATATGCTATGTCATTAACTCACTTTCAAGTAGAGCTCAGGCACATTGTTTTGCAAATTATCTACATGTTGAGCTCTGGTTTTTATGTACCTATCACACAAAAACCACAGGAGAGCCTTTAGTTCTAGCCTTAGTTAAGTTATTATGACAAGTACCCTTCCATGCTGTGGAGGCAAGCAGCCCACTTGTGGACCCCTGGTGGCCATCATTTGCAGTAATGTGGCAGGCAGCTGGTGCGTCGGCCGCCGCGGCCGAGCTCAACCTGGGCCGACGGCCGGTGCTGCTGGACAGTGCTGTCTGCGAATGTGACCTGACAGGCGCGCGGTGCGACCCTCACTGCTGCTGTGACCCGGTGAGGCCTCCGCTACGCACCGCCCGGCCCGCCCCGGCCCAGACCTGACCATTTCTCCATCGCCCTCCGCCAGCCAACCCAACCATTCTGGCTTGGGCTGGCTGGTGGAGGGCAATGGAGAGGGTTTTGGGGTATTTTGGCAGCATGTGCTTTGATACCCTTAGTAAACGGAGTCGTTACCGCACGCTCCATGCTAAATTGGGGGCAACACTAGGAACAATAATACCGGAGGATCCACAGGTGAGTGCAATATTATTTAAACTCAATGCTTGGCATTTTTCACTTCATATGATATTCCTGCCCGTTCCCGCGGGGCTTCGCCCAGACATATCAGCCAGTACTACTGAATGCTGCTGAGAATGTAAGGCCGGCGCCTTGTCAACACGTGAGTCTTTTGGCATTGAGGAACGGAACAATCACTTTGCATCATCATCACATTGTTGCATGACTGAATGCACTGACATTGGTGTCCTCCAACTGAGAGTGCCTGCCTCCGTTACTGGTCACATCCGATGGCGCCGTTCGCCGCAGCTCTGTGTGCTCCGCGTCGTCCGTTTGACGGGCCGCGCATGCCGCCGTAGGACTGCGCCGACACCGCCGCTCCCTGTCCGCGTGCCGACCGGCTGGGACCGCCGGCCGTGCACCGGTGCTCGGCCGCCAACCGACCCCCATGGCACTCCGTGTTCTGCGTGGTGGCCGACAACTCGCCGTTCCTGGGCAGCTTCCACAAGTTGGCGCCGGCCGCCGACCTGTCGCTGTTTTCACCGCCTGCCGGGCTGGCGGCTGACTGCCGGCGGCGGCGGCCGGCCCGACCGACGCTGCCTACCGGTCGGGCCGACCGCTGCGAGCCGCCGACGGCCGGCCGCTGCTGCTGCCGCGCCCGCTGCTGGACGGCCGCTGCGGCCGCGCCGTCCCCGTCGGCTTCCTGCGCGCCGCCGCCGGCAGCTGCGCCGTGCATGACGTGCGCCGCAGCTGCCGGCCAGAGGCCGGCTCGCCGCTCGATCCGGCCGTGTTCAGCGCGCTTGCTGTGCGTGCGGGCCCGCTGAGTAAGCGCGTGGTGCGCGCAAGCGTGCGGCGCCTCTGCGAGCCTGCTGCAGCGTCGCACGGGGGCAGGAGCGCGGCCGCCCCCTGCGCCGCCGAGCCCCTCCAACTGGACGGCGACACCTGTAGGGTGCACTCCGGGAGCTGGCGGTGGTGTTCCGCTGGAACGGCTCGGAGGTGGTGGACGCCATGGTGGACGTCATTGTAGCGTCGGTCGGAGCGCGAGACCAGCGCGCCAACCTCACACAGACCATCACGGTTACCTTCCGCCACGTAGATGCAGGGTGGCAGCACCGGGATGCCGACAGAGGGCAGCCGTGTGGTGGCGACGCTCCGGGAATCCGGGCTACGTCCTGGACTCGATCTTAATCGCCTCGACGGAACGGTGGGTACAAAGCCACAATCACCGGGTATATGGGCTTGCTGGATAGTTGTATCTCAGTGAATGTTGGTAGCTCAGGCGTTTGCTCGCCTGACTAGCACCAACAGCTCGTTACGTAAGGTGAGGTAAACAGTGTTGACCTGTATGTTTTGCAGACGTGATGGGTCATCACTTTGTGCTGCAGCGTTGTGGTCAGCCCACCCCACAACTACTCAGCGGATGACGGGTTCATTCCAGAGTGAACATATCGTCTGCGGGGAGGCGGGCCGGTCCCGGTCTCGCCGCTGCTGTCACTCTCCGTCCAGGTCAGTCCGGGCCTGGCGGCGCCCGCCTTCCTCGTGCCGTCACCTGACGTGTCGGACGGCGCCAAGTTTTAATAGAGCGGGCGGGGGGCTGCACCGCCCCGGCCGGCCGCTCGCTCCCGCGGGAAATCAGGTGGCGCCAGGTGGTGCGGCGGCGCCGGCGGCGCGCAGACCCAGCCTGGGCCAGCGGACGGCGTCGGGCGGACCCCGCACACCGGCCAAGAGAACCCGGGTGCCGGGAACGCACACGGTAAACACGTCCCCTGGGCGGACGGCGCTGTGCGGCGTCTGGCGAGTCTCCTCCCGCGGGCGTGATGCTGCCGAGGTCAGCCCGGCTGCCAGCGACCCGGGCTGGGACGCCGGGCTGACCCCGGGCACCGGCCCCGCGGGTTAGGCCGGCACAGTCAGCCGCCTGCTTGCCAGCACAAAGTTCGGCCTCGCCGCCCCCCACCCGTCAGCTGTGTGGGCACGTCACGTGACCAGAGCCGCACGGCGCACGCGACAAATTGGCTGGCCCGGCCGGTCGTCAGCGCCGGCGTGCTCGACAGCTGATTGGTTCGTCTCTCCGACACTGCTTTTTGTGCGGGCGGGCGTGAGCGTGTGAACGGGATGTCTGGCTCGCAGATGGGACGGTGAGCAGCCGGCGCTTGAGACCGGCGCCGCGCCATCAGCCGCCTGTCACTGCCGGTTTCATAGCAGGCGAATCGGGCCGGGCCGGGCTGCGAGCCAGCACCCGAGCGTCCGCTCCCCAGCCCGTCACCGACACGGTTCCGCTCCCCGAGGGTTTACTCCCCGAGGATCCGCTCCCCGGGAGTCCACTCCCCAGCCTGGTACCAACACGGGTCCGCTCCCCGAGGGTCCGCTCCCCAGCCCGGCACCGCTACGGGTCCGCTCTCTAAGGATCCGCTCTCCGAGAGTCCACTCCCCAAAGGTCTATTCTCCAAGGATCCGCTCCCCGAGGGTCACCCCCCCCCCCGTGGATCCACTCCCTGAGGGTCCACTCCCCAAGGGTCCACTCCCCAAGGGTCCACTCCCCAAGGGTTCGCTCCCCGAGGGTCCGCTTCTCGAGAGTCCGCTTCCTGAGGGTCCGCTCCCCAAGAGTCCGCTCTCCAGGGGTCCGCTCCCCGGCCCGGCGCCGACACGGGCAGGCTCGGCCGGAGCCGCGGTGGTCGTTGCGACCGGTCGGCGCGGCCATGCGCAGCGCAGCGGCTGTCGGCTGCAAGGCGTTCTGCCAGCCGCCCGTGTGCCGCGGCTCGGGGCTGCCCCATCACAGCGCGCCGCACTGGCAGCGGCGGCGCGCTACACGTCCGGGTGTGTGTGGGGTGCCGGCCGTCTCAGCCGGACAGGCCGGTGTCGGATGAGCGAGGCCGCACCTCGTCGGCTGTTCTCCGGTATTGCGGCACCGGGCGATGACCGGCTGCCTCGCTCGGCAATGTGTCTGAACATAACTGGGCAGGCTGCGTTTCGAGGAAGGGAGGGGCGAGTGTTGGTTGGAGTGGACATTATGGAGGTCATTTAGTGATGTACACGAGAAGAATCGCGTGAAAGACCTGCGGCACGAGCTCTCGTCGCATTAAACTGGGAAGGTTTGTCGCAGGTACCCTTCTTTGTGCACCCCTTTCTCCGGCGGGCAATAGCGTGGTCGGCCGCGTTGAGCCGGTCATGGCCGATAATCTCCGACCCCGCTCCAGTTGCCGGCCCCTTGTCGGGGTGCGCCGGATGACGGTCGGGTGTAGATCGTACTTTATTCACGACAATTGAGAGGTATATAGCAAGCCGAGGTATGCGCAGCAATGATGCGGTCCTGCCTCGATAGCAGCCCCACTTCTGTAGAAAAATACGCGGATCATCGCCAGGACCGCAACATTGGTCATACCAGAGACGGAGAAATGGAAACAGCGATAACGATCGACTATATCAAAACGCACGCGGCAACAGTGTCGAAACGGCTGGCGAGCCTTGGGCACCTCTGCGTGGCGGGGTGGCGATCTCGACTGACTTGGGATGAGCCAGGGCCTTGTCTTGCTGGCCGAGAGCTGGCCTGCGTCGTCGCTGCCGCCGCAGGCGGGCCAGGCGCCCCCCGGCCTCAATCGGGGCCCCGGCGCCGTCCTCTGAGTGGAGCGTCGCCACCCGTCCACCTTCCCGAGGGCAGTGGGAGGTGCCCCGGTCGCGTCAAACCGCAGGGAGGGAATAGAGAACACGACACCGATAGCTCGCTAACGGCAACGCTCACGGAGCTAAAACGACGCGCTAACTGGCGCAGGAGACGAAGCAACAGCAGTGACGTAGAGCGGACAACCGAAACAACAGCAAACCTTAGCCTAGCGGCGGCCGGCTGCCACCGGTCGACAGCCGCGCCGGAGACGGAACACACGGAGGCCACCAATGATATGATCTTTGTACCGGCCGAGCGGTAACACCTTGGCAAATCACAACTGATGCCTGCGGCGAGCGAGCGCGCCGCGTCGGCCGCTGGGTGCGGGCGCTGCGGTGGCGGCCTGCCGACGGTGGCCGCGGTTAGTCTCGGCCGGCGCTGCCACTGGGAGCAGCGGCCGGCCGGGCTCGAGCCCCACGCCTGCCCCTCCGGTGGCTCGCCGGGCCGCCACCGTCACCGCAGTCTCGCGCAGGCTGTTGAGCTGCTGATGCGCGTGCCGCGAACGGAGGCAGCAAGGCCTGGCGGGCGGGCCGCCGCGATGCGCGCACACGCCCGTCGCCAGCGAGCGCCAAGACGGGCACGTGCGCGGTGGAACATTTGACACAGCTAAGCCACACGACTGGCTTTGAAAACAGCCACCTCCTCCCCTTGCGCCCCTCTTAGTCGCGGCTGCTCGCGTGCGCATGTGTGCGGCACGGGCGTGGGCGTGGCACACTCCCTGCACGCTGCGGCGTTACATGCCGCGCTGGTCTCGTGGTCCGCCCGGCGAGCATGCCACGCATGCGAGGACGGGGTGAAACTCCCCACCTGGCGGACAGGGTGGCTGGGGCCCCTCTTGCCGACGGGCAGGTTTTCCCCGAACCCGGTCGGTGAAACTTCGTAATTTTCCAGGCCTGAACGCGACTGCGCCGCTTACGCCGCTTATTTAGGGGGCCATCGACCGTGTCGGCTTCATGCCCTCGGAGAGATTCTGCCATCACTTCTTACTTCCTAGGTGCACCCAATGTGCTTGAATGGCATAAGTTCAAATAATTACATGTGTAATTATTTTAAGATGCCATCGTTCACGCTTAGTTTTTCTTGTTTCCTTTTTACGTTTCCTCATTGGCCAGCGGTTCGAAGATAAATTTAAGACAAACCTTTTTAGATGCTTGAGCCCTGTTTGGCTGTCGCAGCTCAGCTTGGAGTGCCGGAGAGTTCTACGCACTTTGCGGTAAATGCTCCAAGGTCCCGCAGCTATCCGACGGTAAACTGGCTCGCCGAAGCGATTATCCACTTCTCTTGCTCTCGTTTCTACGTCAAACGGAAACCCCTCCGGCTGCCCTTTTGCTTTGAGTGCCTCTGTAACGCCGCACATGAATCTGGACTAAAAGCCTCCCACGAAGCCTTCGTATTGGGATCGGCTTCCCACGAAGCCGCCATATTTGGATCGACTTCCCACGAAGCCGCCGTATTCGGATCGACCTCCCACGACGCCGCCGTATTCGGATCGGCTTCCCAGGATGCCGCCATATTCGGGTCGCCAGGTCCAAATGGCGACGAAATCCAGCTGGGCGTCGTCTGACGTCTGCGCCCGTCACGCCCGGAAGCCGGCGGACGTGCCGCTGTCCGAGCGTGGGAGGGCGGGGTGGAGCTACTGCGGGCGTCGGGCAGCGGCGCAGGCGGCGGCCAGCAACGCCGGCCAGGCGGCCGCCTCCGCAGCCGACGGCTGCCCGCTGGTCGGGCAGTTGAATTCGGAGGCGGGCAGCTTCTTCACGCTCACAATGTGCTTGCTGTCGAACTTGCGGCAATGCGGCTCGTGGTGTAACGTCTGGAACTCTTCGTCGTCCGAATGCCGGTCGATCCACTCTTTGAACCAGACTAGCTCGCAGTTGCATACCAGCGGGTTCTCTGAAAGCAGCCGCTCGTCAGTGGGACCTCGGTGCCGGCGACTGGCGCGGTCGCGCGGGTGGCAGGCGGTGCCCACGGCGGCGTCTGAAGCACCGCCTCGCAGCGCATGCCGCGATCCGGCACGTTTCGCACCCTGGGACGCCTTTTTTGTGCGCGGACAAAATTGACATCCGGTTTGAGTGTTTGTGACGCGTTGGCATCGAGGATGCGTGCTTCTGGCAAGCTATTTAAGCCGCTTTGAAGTTCGTGAGCCTGCGGGTGGTGCGTTGGCGTTGGGGAGAGTGGGGGGAAGGAGGGATGCACACCAGCATCCGTTTGTGGAGAAGGAAACGAGCGACTCTATAACGGACCGGCAACTTTGATAATGACAATATCGCTCAGTGTTACGGGTATTGCGTGCTTCAGAGCTGTATTACCGAATTGGGTGCCAGTCGCTTCTGGAAACGACTTAGTGATGCAATGCAACAGCCAGCGTATTTTTCAAGATGGGGAATCTTGACTGCTTCCGGGACCATTGGCCGGTGCAAAGCGCGCTGAAAATAGCTGGCCGGGCGCGGCGGAGCGTGTTTGCCGGCGGTGTTTTGGGCGGTGTCTGGGGGAGGGGGTGCGCGCTGGTGGCGCCGCCTGCCGACCGCACCTGGCCGCGCGCCGATCGATGGCCGCCCGTCTAATGGCGCGGCCCGCCCGCCGCCTCAGATGGAGACAAACGGCGCCGGCCCAACACGCGCCCGGCCGACACGCTCTGGCACCGGCCCAGCAGGACGTCGACTCGCCCGGCGCGCGGACACCTGTAGGTGCCGCCGGCCCGGCAGTGCGACCGTCCAGGCGGTGGCGTAATGGACACTCCTCTATCCACCGTGCACCCGTATGAACACATCACATGCCCGCTAATTTTACCTGACAGTCAGATTAATAGGCAAGTCATTGATGAGTACCACAAGTTAGCAGTATGAGGTAGGTTATGGCCCGCACATCCACGTCAGGCGAACGAAAACTGCATTTGTTCCTCCATTTCAGTACTTTGTGCGACGTGTGTCCCGCTACTCACGGTAAAGGTCAATGACTTCGAGTGAGTCCAGCAAGCTCTCCACCGTCTCCAGTGGGATGGTGGTGATTTCGTTATTGCTGAGTTTCAGCCACTCCAGCGAGTGCATCTGCATGAAGGTGCCCGGCGGGATGGTCTTGATGCTGTGGACGGGCAGTCGACATCAGCTGGCGCGAGGGCGGCCGCCACGCGCTGCCCCCGCGAGACGGCGGGCTAGTGCCAGAGTGGGGTCACGCCCTCCTCTAGTCCTGGCGTGATGCAGGCCTGGCAGTTCTGACGTCAGATGTGTGTGCGTGTGTGCGTGCGTACGTGCGTGCGTGCGCGTCAGACGTGTGTGTGCAGCTGCGCCTGTCGCGTTATCGACACGCGATTGTCAGTGTCCCGTGTGGTGAAGTCACGGCCGAAGGTAATCGGTGATGGCGAATTGTTATCGGAGCTGACCAGCTAAGGCTGACGTGACGAGGAAGCCGTTAGGCTGCTGTCGTGACCAAATTAAAATGGACAGAACGCCAGACCGCGCACGCCATTATGGCGCACGTGCCGTGGGGCTGTTACGTACAAAACTAGTTCGTTGCTCATTCATTTTCTATGTTCTTGCGGTGAACTTCGATACTGCAGACGGGGATTTCTCCTGGGGATTGGTAGGTTGAGCTGGTCGATGGACTGCAGCATGGTTGAGCGGCCGTCCCCTGCAGCCCTTCTCTGGCTTGCATGACTGGGAACGGCCGTTTTTGGGGTGCGCCTCAGGTGTGGACCGCCGCGAGCGGGACGCAGTGTGACGCAGTCCCGCGGACCAGCGAGGGGGGGGGGGCGGTGTGACGCAGTCCCGGGGCGCAGTGTGACGCAGTCCCGCGGACCAGCGAGGGGGGGGGGCCGGTGTGACGCAGTCCCGGGGCGCAGTGTGACGCAGTCCCGCGGACCAGCGAGGGGGGGGGCGGTGTGACGCAGTCCCGGGGCGCAGTGTGACGCAGTCCCGCGGACCAGCGAGGGGGGGGGGGGGCGGTGTGACGCAGTCCCGGGGCGCAGTGTGACGCAGTCCCGCGGACCAGCGAGGGGGGGGGGCGGTGTGACGCAGTCCCGGGGCGCAGTGTGACGCAGTCCCGCGGACCAGCGAGGGGGGGGCCGGTGTGACGCAGTCCCGGGGCGCAGTGTGACGCAGTCCCGCGGACCAGCGGAGGGGGGGGGGGCGGTGTGACGCAGTCCCGGGGCGCAGTGTGACGCAGTCCCGCGGACCAGCGGAGGGGGGGGGGGGGGCGGTGTGACGCAGTCCCGGGGCGCAGTGCGATGCAGTCCCGCAGACCACGGGGGGACGCAGTGCGTGCTGCAGCGAGCTGTCCCAGCCTGGCATCCATTCTGAGATATGAACAACGGCGAACTCACACCCGTCGAGCTACCCTCCTTGACATGTTATGATGCGGTCAGTATTGAAGGGCCACTTGGCTAGCCACCGTTCTCAGTGTGGACTGCGCCCCAGTGCTGCGCCGCGGCTGCTTCAAGTCCGCGTATCCCACGGCCGGTCCTAGAGCCGACGCCGTCCGCTAGCCTACATGGGCGTCGGTGGGCTGGGTGACCCCCGTCTCGCCTGGGAGTCTGGTATATGCGGGCGTGTGAAGTGGGCTGGGTGGGCGAATGAATGAGGCTGTCGGACGGCCAGCTGGCCGGCCCGCTTCTCCCACGCCCTCAGTTCACCAGCCCGCCGGACGGCCGGGGCAGCCGGCGACTGACGCGGAGCAGAGCTGAGGGCAGCGACGCCTCCGCGCTGTTCTCGGCAAGTTTACCCCATTGGCGTAGGTGGCACTTCTACGTACTGGCGCCGCAAAGGTGCCGTTCAGGCCCGCGTAATTCACTCGATATCTCCCTAAATCCATGGATGTGACCAAGGCGAACGGCGGGCAAGCTGCGCCGGACGCGCCCCGCTGCTGGATGTGTTGTCTGAGAACTCTACACCACTTAAGTGGGCACTTCTCGAAGCGGAGAATGTCATGAACTGCGTGCAGTTCACCCTTCAGACTGTGGCGCTGACGGTGAGGTGAGCGGTGCGGCGCTGACGGTGAGGTGAGTGGTGCAGCGCTGACGGTGAGGTGAGTGGTGCGGCGGTGACGGTGAGGTGAGCGGTGTGGCGCTGACGCTGAGGTGAGCGATGCGGCGCTGACGGTGAGGTGAGCGGTGTGGCGCTGACGGTGAGGTGAGCGGTGCGGCGCTGACGGTGAGGTGAGCGGTGCGGTCCTGTCGCCGCCAGCTCGCGTCTTCAGAGCAGCTGTCCGGGGTCTGAGGTCCGGGGCCCGGGGTCCGAGGTCCGGGGTCCTTTGCTGTCTGTCTGAATGGATGTGTGGGTAGCCTTCGTATTGTTGAGCCGGCCGGCTTGACGTGCACCGAGCGTGCCGTCCTAAATACGAGAGGGGTATGGGGGTGGGGGGGTGGGGGCACGCGTCACATTTCTATCAAGTTGGCGGGGGGGGGGGGGGGGGTACTTACTGGTTTTTCTGCAGGCACAAGAACTTAAGCGACTGCCCAAAGCCCTCGAATGCGTCCTCCGGAATGATGGAGATGTTGTTGTGCTTGAGGTCGAGCTGCTTGAGCCGGTGAAGACCGCGGAGCGCCTGCGTGGGGATGCCGAAGATCTTGTTGTCCCCCAGTGACAGCCATTCCAGAGTCTCTGCGGACAGACATTCGGCCAACTATCTAACAGCTTCCTGTTCAACCCAATCAGGGACCGTCTGGCGAGCCACAGGGTAGGATATTCGAGGAGCGACCGATGACGCGATCGTAAATCTCGCACGTGGTTCCGTGCGCGTGACGACCGGCCTCTGACGTCACGGCCCACGTGGCCATCACCGGGGGTGAAGGGGGGAGGGGCGGCAGCCAGACCGATTTGGCCACCGCCCAGCCCATTTGCCACGCTGCCACTCGGATGTGCGTCGGCCGCTCTTCCGCTGCCTTCCGACGGGCCTGGCGCCGTCATTAATTTCCGGTGAATGGGTGGGTTGGGGGAGAACACGGGAGTGGGTGTGTGGTGCGCATGTTGGGGTGTGCTGCCTGATGGTGGGCTTGTGCTGGTGGGCGGCGCCGGCGGACCTCCTCCACAGCCGGCGCTGTCCGCCTGTCGACCATCTCCGGTTGGGTAGGACTGGGGGCAGGCATTGGTAAATGCCAATATCGAGGATTGAGGTGATGGCGTACATCATCGCGGGCGCTCGAAGAATAGATGAGCCGTGGCTGCCGGGATCGGATGTTATGTTTGATGATATGATGATGGATGTTTGTTACACCGGGGAAGGCCGACGCGTCAGCCCCGCACTGCCACACTGGCAGGCGCGGCCGTGACCACTACAGCACGGGGAAGGCTGACGCATCAGCCCCGCACTGCCATACTGGCAGGCGCGGCCGTGGCCACTACAGCACGGGGAAGGCTGACGCATCAGCCCCGCACTGCCGCACTGGCAGGCGCGACCGTGGCCACTACAGCACGGGGAAGGCTGACGCATCAGCGCCGCACTGCCATAGATGGGCCGTGGCTGCCGGGGTCGGATGTGTTTGTTACACCGGGGAAGGCTGACGCGTTAGCCCCGCACTGCCGCACTGGCAGGCGCGGCCGTGGCCACTACAGCAGAGGGAAGGCTGACGCATTAGCCCCGCACTGCCACACTGGCAGGCGCGGCCGTGGCCACTACAGCAGTGCGGGCGGCCGCTTGGAAGGCTCTTGTAATGAGCACTCGTTCACCGAGCTCCGGGCCATGCTGGCATAGTCCCGAACCATAAATTCTGCTGGTGTCAGAGTCCCTGGGTTCGATTTGCCGACAAAGTGTTCACTATTTTACGGCGCGGACGGGCCCCCGTTGGTCACAGGCAGCATTGTCGTGGTGCTACTTCTCTCAAGATAGGACACGCCATTGGCAGTCCGCTGAGCAGAAACCTTGCAAATTTTGCGGATGCAGATGGGCACATTTATTCAAATTAATGCTCTTGTTTCCAGGTGTTCGCAGTGTTGACCTTCCCACCCGTAACTTCAGCCTAAATATAACTTGTTGCTCTTACCCCGAGCTTGTCTTAGAATGGTTTCCGGTGCCGACCATAAATTTCGCCGGAGACCCTGAGGCTGATACAAAGCTATTGGCCGTGGGCAGAGGCGTACACAAGGGGAGACAAGCGGGCGGGTGCCCCCCCCCCCCTCCCCCCTCCATTACAAAATACACGACTCCTGGGCACTCGGCACAAACAGGAATTGAGCGCGCGCGAAAGGCGGGGCTCACTACACGTCACCAAAGGGTGTCGTCAGGAGGCCTCAGAAAATGAGACATGTGTTAGAGTTGTAAGTTGGGCTTTTAAGGTCTCGCCTCGGGATTATGAAATTCCTCTGTGTGCACCTGACCGTGATAAACGTCTCCCATCCTCACCGAATCGACTCGAATCCCGCAGGGCCACGTCCCCCATTGGCAGAATATCTACCTGAGTAAACCTATGCCGTTGCAAGTACCTACGTCATACACAAGTGGCCGTCCTCCAAGCCGTAGGAACTGTTGTGACGCAGCTGAACGGTCTCTGATGTCATAGGCTGCAACTTGTGGGCAGCTGTTGATAATGGTAAACGCGGTTCAAACAGAGCTCAAACGCACATGATGCTGCATACTGCGCTGACTCACTCACTGCGATAAAACACCTCGGGTCAACTGGCGGTGACCTCTGTGAAGACCATCGTGGCCAGTTTGACAGGGTACGAAGGGTACGTTGTACATACGTACGGGGTGTGTGACCAGTTTTCTTTGACAGGGCACGGAACATGGGAAACAAATGATGTCATAAAGGAGATGAGATTCGCACAAATAATGAGCTACGCTTCATTTACAAAATACAATCCCTGCCTGCAATCTTTGCACCATCCAGGATGCTTCTGCAGAGCGGCGTCATTCAGCGGCGCGTGCCGAGTCACCCCTCGTACCGCCCGGCACGTCGTGCAGCGGGGGGGGGGGAAGGCATTTGAGGGTCACGCAGTCGTCACGGCAACACATTGCGTCACCTTGTCCCAGATCACGACGTCACATGGTCTGTCATATGTCACATGGTCTGTCACATGGTCTGTCACATGGTGTGTCACATGTCACACGGTCTGTCACATGGTCTGTCGCATGGCCACGACGGTCGTCTGCCATCCTGCAGCCGACTGGCGCCGGGGGCGGCAGGCGGGCCGCCGGAGTCACTCACGCTCGAGTCCCTGGAAGGCGAGCTTGTCGATGTAGGCCACCTGATTGTGCTCGATGTTGAGCTTAGTCAGCTGGCTGAGCTCGGTGAAGGCGCGCGCTGGTAGTGCCTTGATCCGGTTGTTTTCCAGCAGCAGGCTGTCCAACTTGCTCAGTCCTGCCGACAGCGTCGATGCGCTCAGGTAGAGTTTGGTGTCTCTTTGGAACGGCTTCGGGTCCCCAATGTTTGTCTCTCTCACGGAACATTGTTGGGCTCGAACCATCTCACAAGGCTCTAGAAAGAATAAGGTAGAACGCTCCGGTCTCCGTAAATGTAGAGCCTATGGCTTTGGGATAAGCCGCGAATTCGGACACTGCACTCATCCTTTGATTGGTGGGGGGATTTCATGTCACGGAATTAAATCCCGATTGCCATGGCAATGAATCCCAGAGTCCGCACTGTGGTTGTGTGTTCAGGGGCTGGCTCTGGTCCGTGTGGCGCCATGTTCTAGGATCCTGAGGTGGAGAAGAGATAATTGTAAGCGTTTATATACCTATAACTTATGACGCTATTTTGGCAAGCACCCGTAATACGCGGATGCGGGTAGTGTAGTGGTTAGCGCGTCTGCGTTGGCTACTGCGCGTCTGGGAACCAGAGGTACGGGGTTCGATTCCCCGCGATGCCCGCCCTTCCTGCCAGGGTGAGAGGCAGGCGACGCCATATAGCCTCAGCAGCTGAGTGCGTCGTCAAGCCTCAATCACACACACACACACACACACACACACCCGTAATACGCGTAAATGTCGTTAAGGACGGATGGTTTTCATGTAATGGGTTTCATCATTTTTTGACAACTTATCTGACCGTGGTAAGACAAATCGCCGTGGTGTCAGCAGGATCTGCACGTGATACAAGGAGCATGGCGTAGAGTGGTCAGGAAACCGGATGGACAGGAAAATGGGTCATGTACTTCCAATATCGGTTAACCTGTGCTGATATATGCTGTAATGAAGCACCAGGACGAATTAAGATGGTCATTTGCAATATCGATGCCAAGTGCGTGGGTCTGGTGCGGGAGTGTAGGTGTGTAACTGCATAATATGCAGGCATGCCAGTGCTATCTAAGCTCATACACGGGTTCACGAAGTTGCTGGTGCACGCAAAACGCGATAAACTGTAATTGTTGCATTTACCATGCAATGCTCTCTTGAAATTAAACTAAGCTCAGAACATTCGGTGTCTGAAAAAAATGATTCACGTGTTGGCCGAATACAGCACGGTTTTCCTTGTCCCTTACGGTATCCATGTTATGCTAGCGATGTGGCAATTTATAACTGTTCAAATTTTGAAGTGTTGTGGCTGATGCCAGACTATTCCTAGAACAAGACCACCAAATACTGCCTTACTTTTACGATATTTGCATGGTATTACAGCACTGGACACTTTATAAAAGTGGTAATTTTTGAAATAGTACTGGTGCATTGTTCTGATTGGTATATTTTTCTTTGGGATTAGAACCCACAAGCGAGGAATAGTGAATCTGATGTCGGCTAAAAAATAAGTCTGCTTGACATGCTGATGAACATGATGGCACATGATGAATATAAAATATCACGTTTGGCATTGCCACTGAATTTGTATTCGTGTCTGTCCTCAGAAATATGTTACCAAGACATGTGCCTGGTTTTCAATGTTGGTTTCTGGTACCCACTTCCCCTCATCAAAACGAGGCCTTAGATCCTTCGTTTGGCCTGGTTCTTTCATCACGACTAATCCCTGGTTCGCGGACCACATAGGTCATTTTGCAAACACTAGGCCTTGACTCCCGGTTCTCACTGAATGTTTCTAAGGGTGCCGGTAGTGTAGTGGTTAACGCGTACGCGTTCGCGTTAACCACTGCGCGTCTGGGAAACCAGAGGTACGAGGTTCGATCCCCGCAGTGCCCGCCTTTCCTACCAGGGTGGGAACCAGGCGATGCCTTAAGCCTCAGCAGCTGGGTGCGTCGTAAAGCCCTAATGACATGGTTGTTTCCAAAACTCAACATACGATTAGAAGTTTCAAATTAGTTAGTCACAAACACCACACCCTCGCTTACAGGTTCCATTAATTCACTCAAAAACCTTTTTATTCCGACTTCTGTGTCGTCACTGGCTCATTCGTCAACACCAGATCGGACTGCTATTCGACAAAATTCTGCCATTGAAATGATGTCTGAGGTAAAAAATATCTTGTCTATGTGCTTTAATGATTGCATGTGCACACTGCGTGACGTAAGCTCAGGTGAATACGTAGTAGTTTCTAACAACGCTTCATGTGAATCATGATTCTTATTAGTGCCTTCGACTTTATACTGCACCGTGAAAACAAAATGATACACTGTCTAATAACAAGTAAACGACATGGAGAGTTGACAGCTGGGTTTCATTGAGTCCTTGCCAGTGTAAACTCTGAGGTAATCCGAAATTCCACCTTTGAAATCATCCAGATATCTCTTGCAGCGCCAGAATGTCGCACATTACCAACCGAAAGCAAAAACAGCGTTCAGTGTGAGCTTTTTCCAGGGCCCCTCAAAATTTATCTGGCAACCCCGCTGTGACGTCACGGTGGGGCGCTGGACAGGCCACAGCATTGTAAGCCCTCAGGAAAGGGGTTTTCAGAGGCAGCTTTTGGGGTAGATGAGAATGTACGGGATTGCTGAAACGCCTTCAGCGTCAGAAAAAAACGTATGGTCTGTCGTACGCCAGGTGTGCTTTTGAAGTCCAGTGCCTTGGCTTTGAATTGCAAGTAATTTTGCGCAGACGTTGCACCGTTGACCTAGGTGGTGCCACTGGTACCAACGCCTGGCTTATAGATGATGCTAGTGTGCTTCGTGGACCTATGACACTCATTCAGTTTCCACAGATACGTCGTGCTTCTCGAAGCGTTCTGCGTGTTGGAATGCAAACTGTGCTTGCTGGGTTCGAAATATCTTAACATCTTGCATGCAAATGTCTTTCCCTGATTTTTTTTCGTTCATCAAGGCATATTCTTAGCTCAGTTGCCTGCCATTCTAATAAAACCGCCTACATGATTGTTGGGTTACGGTATTGGTAACCTTCATGTGTGAGTCTACTAAGTTTGATCTTGAATTGAAAATAAGACAATCGTCTTGTCATAATTGAGGCTTTAACCCTCTTGAACTGGCTAAATATTGAACGTGTGACGACGACATGCGACATTTCGAACTCACCATCAACATTAGGTGAGGCAGGTGGTGTTAGGTGTCAGGTTGGTCAACAGCTTCGTCCGGAAAACTGACAAGTTCTGCCCAAGTATGAGGTGCGGGGCCATATGAAAAAAATTACAATTCCATGCGAACTAATAATTTTGGTGCATGCGTTGCAATGTACCGGAAGCAAAGCACATGCAAAATAAAACTAGAGCACGGATATACAATGCGATACCAGATAACGATATATTTACAAAGTGCCGTAGGTGGAAGAAGCAGCAAAAACACCAAAAGTGTAGTAGCAGTGGACAGGCAAGGCGTCATACTATCCGCGTCAAGACACACCGGGATGCGCCGGGGCCTTTGCGTCCAGGCCAACTGATAAAAGCAGGATGTAGTCGGGAGACCTCACCCGCCTTCTACGCGTCAGGACCACACGTCCCAAAAACGCACTCACCAGCCCCAGGAAGCGTGACAGGAGGGGAACATGATCGGCCCGCGCCCCCTCCATCCAACCAGCGGAACAGTGGGGGGGGGGGGGGGGGGGGGGGTTAGTTCGGTGGGCCAAAAACTGCTACTGCTGGTCAAATGGCCACACATTACTTAATCAGTGTTGGTGATTCCTTTAAGGCACTCTAAGCTGCACT